CTGACAAGTGCAGAAATTACCACCCAAATGTCGGAGTCCGCAACTCAACTCCCGTATTTTCATCCGGAAAATAGAACTTTCGTATTTTGGGAAGGGGAACACAAAAGTCCCGCTTATCCGTCCTTTTCTCTATATGTGTATCTATACACTCATCAGAATTTACCTCTTTCCATGAGTGTAAATACGTACAATGTCGAAACATTATCTTTTGAAGACGTTAATGGCCGAATAAAGGAATGAGCCCTATTAGATACTTTGGAGTATCTAACCCATGCAATATTTACAAGATTGCATAGTTTTACAAAATTAGCATTGTTGGAACATCAAGTGTCTAACAATGGTACGCGATTATATTTATCATGTCTCAATATTGCATGGGATACAATTTGCGTTTTATAGGAATAGCTAATGTATTAATAACATTAGCTAAGGGTATTGCTTAGGTTATAAAAACGGATCTCGTACTACTGTCATTATGTATTTTGCTTCCAAATCTAAAACTTTCTATCATAGGTATCAATCCCTAAAAGTGATATTTTGCTGTGTGTTCTTCCGTTTTTATAGTATGCATTGTATACTATATCGGAGTAAGATTGATATCCCTAAAGATATCCAGAAGTTTACAATATTTGTGTAAAATATTTTGTTTCAGCACATAAAATGAGAATAGTGTTAAACGTGTGCCAACTTATGGAGTTAAATTAGCTTGACACAATTTCTAAAGAGATATAATACGTTTTAAACTTGATCGTACACAAGTTGTAACTAAGAGACAAGAATCACAAATTAGTATCACTTAACATTTCAAAGAGCACTAAGGTAATATCTAAGTAGCACAGAGCTCCTAGATTATACACCGAATATTTGTTAAGTGATAAATATGTTTATCGTAGCCTAATCCTATACGTGTTGAAATAAGAAGATATAAGTATTGAAATAGCCTATTTTATAACAAACGTTATATCTTATTTGTTAACAGAGACGGATCGATGAAGTGCATTAAATGCGGCGTCACGTCCAATCATCGCATATTTGTGAATTGAAAACGTTTGGATATTCGGATAGAAAACCTAAGATACTTAAACATTATTAATTTTTAGCGTAAATTTGTCCTCATATCTGTTGGAAAACCACAAATATGAATTGTACTGTTATCAAGCTGGAAGTATACAATCAGAGTAAACACACATATATTTTGAGTGTACGCACATATTGAGTCATGGCATAATGTTGAAAAGATAGTAGGGATATACTGGACTAAAACGTGATATGTGACACACACGTTTTAGTCTATGAAACCCGTGTTTACTTAATGCATTGTAATTGAAGTTGGAACATCCCTTGTGTGACAATAGTTTACAGCAGTTATAAAGCCGACATATATCTGTCATAACATATGCACAAAACGGATACTCAATTACGTCTAAAATTAGTTCCATCTTAAGTTTATGATAAGGTACTATCGAGATGTGTCTATACTAGTTTCATCTTATACTATCGATCATGTCAGTGGTAGCTTTTCTCGTTGACTCAAAATTTCCAAGATACCTATAATGGAACATAATCGTTAGGCAACGGGTATCTGGAGAAAAAGCTGTAATAAAATATTACAGCTTTTTGATGTAATTAAAAATACATTTCGGCTTATATCAGATAGACCCGTTTACACGTATAATGTTACTTTCTTGGTAAAAGGTATGCTGATTCGAAGCTTGATATGGTATTCTACGTAAGCAATCATTTTTTATGATTAATGGAATATCTTAGTGATTTGAATCTAGGAACTCGTTTAGATTATGAAGGGATAATTGTTGTTTTCTCTTAGTCTATCGACCCGTTGTGGAAAGATCCATCTCTTAAATCGTATGTTTTGTCCCTTCGGATCAACAGCAATAATCCCTTCCGTATTAAGACACACTCACAATTTTAAAGAGGTTAGATGTAGGCTTTATACGAAGACGTACATAGTGCTTTATATGGTTAATGTCTCGTCTAAAATAGGCACGTCCTGCAATAAGACCTGCATAAATACTTAAATACAATGCACGAAAATTATATCATATTCAAGTACAATTCAAATGATATATTTATACAAAATGGTTACAGACCGGGCTCTTTCAATAGAGTTTTAATCGGGTAGATATGGACAATTTTCTGGTCATATCTCCAACGGTATCTTCTGAGTCTTCATCTTCATCTTTGTCTTAATCCGATCATATCTTTTGACATAGAGCAAGATGTTTGCCTCCTTACCGATTTATAACTGGCGCCTGACGTAAAAGTGTTAGGTAAAATTTATTTAGAATGATATTTTAAATATAAAATATCATGATACGTCAGAAGATACCATAAATGGATAATCATTTACGCTTATATTACTCCAGATGTGATGTTTAAATATACACAATTATCACAACTTCTTTGATTTCCACATATTCTAATATGTGGAAATCTTTAGATGTGAGCACTAAATTGGAAATACCCAAGTCTTAAAACGATTGAAGACTGTCACATGCTAAAATTCTAATATATGACGTATCACGGGCTCCGGTTTAATACGAGGAACATGGTACATAGAAATTAGCTGAGGGGGGTTTAATGCAGAACTACCATATCTTTATGCTCTATTAATATATCTCATCTCAAACAACTTTGGAAATACTTGTTTAACTAAGTGGGCAAACGGTATTGTATCCCATTTATACTAAATAAGCGGGACAAAATACTTATGAACACTTAAAATTATAATAATTCTGATACGTAAACACCATAGTAGATATTTATCACAAGTACATCATATCTTAATATGCATGTGTATATCCAAGTGGATATCTAGTATTTACGATATGATAAGTTATTTTGTGCGGATGATTGCCTATTTTACCTCTACTTTAGGGACATACTCTATAAATATTTGTTACCAATGAGTATTTGTGACACTCATTTACGATAGAGGTATAATATTTCTCAACTCACAAAGATTAAATATTTGTCTGAAATAAGGTATCTAGATACCTTATATAAGGGTATCTAGATATATGGTTAAACAACTTTTCGAAAAGTACACTGTGGAACGCCCAGATAAGTAATACCATACATTGAGGAATAATCGTATATTACCCTAGTATCACCGAATAATACCTTAGACATTTTCACTAACTTAATAAGGGTATCTAGATACCCTTATTTCAGAAAATTCTGAAAACAAGGACATCATATAAAGCATTACCTTATATTTGATATAAGGTATCCATTGATATAAGGTATTATACAGTGATCATATCGAAATTTATCAGTGTATCCGTTTAAATAAGGAACACTAGGCTGTGTTCCTTTATTGTTTTATAGTACATGTTATGGAATAATTAAATATTATGGTCTTACCTTTTAGTACTATCATATACTACCTCCGTCCCAAAATTAACTTCGTGCTCGGTTGACGATGTTTGACTGACGATAAAGCAACTCGATCCCTGCTCACATTCGGATTATTTTTAGTAAATAAAATTTACATATTCAAAAACTACATTAAAACCGCTACAAAGCCTGATCAATAAAATTTAAATTTGATAAAAATTTGATATAAAAAGTAAAAGATTACGAGTGATTCGAGTTGACCAATGAATAGTGACTGTGAAGTTATTTTTGGGACGGAGGGAGTATGTCCTAAACTTATGGCTTATATGTTCTGTATAAGGTATTATAGTGTCAATTAATATAGATTACAATATGTTGAGACTCCAATATTGTGGATATAATCTCAATAATAAAAAATTCCTATGTGTATTTGTAAATACACATAGGATATGTAAAATAGTGTATTTATATGTATAGCATACATAGAAGAGATGACGTTTATAGATAAATTACATATATCATAGATAAAGTATCTCATTTAGATATTATAACATATAAGGCATAACACTTAGTACATGTTATGAAATAATATTATATGATACAGCTAATACTCATATTTTGCCTATTCTATATATTACGCACCATAACTATTATGCGTAATATATACTCCTATGCACTGTAAAAGATCGTGTATGGTGATCATTTATGGGTTTCCTATAAAAAATACTTCTGAAACTTATCTTAGTTATATCTAAAGACATAACTATGCACTATTTCTAGCAAGGCAAATCCCTATCATATAAGATGTATAACATTAATATCTATATACTTAATACTTCGTATTAAATATGAAAAATTTACCCTCTAAAAATAGGGTATGTAACGCTATTCTTACTGTTACTTTAGAATAAGTATATATTTTACGAGAGTTCTCTATTTAAACCGTAATCATACACCAAGACGTTTTAATACCTGATATGAATAGCTTTATACAGCCTCGTCTTGATGGTACCGCCTCCAAGGCCATCATAGTGGCGGATGATTCGGATGGCGAGCCCGGTAGCCCCTAAATAGAGCACTTTTAGCGTAAATACCGTTTTGTTTTACAAAATAGGCAATCATCCGTTGATATTTCGAAACCGGCGCCTGAAGATAAGTTTTAGAGCTCGATAAGATCTTTCCAACGAGATAGAAAACGTCTTCAACGGGACAAATAAGGCAATCATCCCTACAAAATAGTTGAAGTAAACTTATAGAGATAGATGGTAAAAACTGGGTTTAGGGTTGATTATATAGTTGGGCTAAGATGCCTAAAACTTAACCCAACTATAAAACACGCTAAATAGAGCATTTAGGAGTCACACAGGGCTATTGTTGAAAGTATGATCAAGCTTGCATACGAAGGAGTTCAAGGCCATGCACACGTGGAATATTGCTTTGTTTATTCTTTATTATTGATTAATATTGTTTTGAATAAATCTAAGTGGTTAGCTAGAGTTTAGGCATTTGATTTGGTCTTTGTTTACTCACGTATTTGAATACTTGGCTTAGCATAATTATAGGAGATAGTTGTTATACGTGCTTGGTTGTTTTCATTCTTGTAAAGGCTATATAAAGCCTATTGATTATTAGTTTAGATAGATGAGTTTTGAATACCTCTTTTTCTTCTCAAGTTTTATTATACATTCGTATAGTATTTCATAGGCTTTGAACAACATTTGGTATCAGAGCTAGAGAGCTATCCGAGGGCCTAAATTGGGAGGAACAAAACAAAACAAAAAAGAGTGAAAACAATGCAGACTGCGGGTGGTAACAATGGGAATTCAATCTCCCAATTACCTATGTTCAAGGGTTCAAATTACCACTTTTGGAGTTTGAAGATGAAGACTCTCTTCAAGTCTCAAGAGCTATGGAGCATTGTTGATGAAGGGTTTGAAGATGGACAACCGGAGGAACCAGATCAAGCCTTGAGAGATAGAAGAAAGAAAGATGCAAAGGCTCTCTATTTTATCCAACAAGCCTTGGATGATGAGGTCTTTCCCCGGATTGCTGCAGCCTCAACATCCAAGGAAGCTTGGAGTTGTAACACTTGAGATTTAATATAAACGAATTAATAGTACTACTCATACCAACAGAGGTGCATCTCCTTTTAAGGGAGCTCATCACCAAGAACTCCAAAGTTAAGCGTGCTTGCACGGGAGCAGTCTTGGGATGGGTGACCCCCTGGGAAGTTTCTCAGGGCGCGCATGAGTGAGGACAAAGTGCGCGGTAAAGGCTCGTGGTGGTTTGTGGGGACAGTACTATTGGTCCGGAGTAACTACCTCAGGTCCGGTGGGGCCGGGGTGTTACAGGTGGTATCAGAGCCTAAGGTTTTTCCGTGGGATTTTTCCAAACGTTTAAAAAAAAAAAAATTCTAAATATATTTTTCAAGAGTTTTGTAATGTTTCGCAAACTCCGTTTTTGAGATGCCAACAATTTTTTCAAAAAAGTTTTCTCTTATTTTCTTGTCCAAAACCGTTTTTTTTTCTCTAATATTTTCCAAACAAAATGAACTTAGGTCATAATAGCCTAATTTACAAATAAAATTAAAATTTTAGGATCGCGGTGAGATTGCGAGATTTATTGATTTTTGTTTTCTTCTATGTGGGTAGTCAGTTTGAACTATTTTAGAAGTGTCCTTTGGTGGTTTCCTAAACAGGACTAATAAAGTGTAGAGAGAAACTATAGGATTTTTGTGCATGCTTGCTCTTGGATATAGAATATAGGATTACAACATTTCTAAGGAAATTTAAGGATTATGCTTCGTGATGAAGCATCCTTTAAGGGGATTGGTATGTGACACTATAGAATTTTAAAATAAGAATTTTAACATTTTGTAGGAGAGATGATTAAAGTCTAGTAAATCGGGTAAAATATTGAATAAAGATTATTCTTTAGAAACTTTTAAAATTATGCTTCGAGGATGAAGCATCTTATAAGAGTGAGAGAATGTAACACTTGGTAATTTTATATCGTTAAATTTGGATTATTAGAGTTGATGCTTCGGGGACGAAGCATTTTCTTAAGGAGGACAGATTGTGACACCTTGAAAAAAAAAATTAATTAAAATAAATAATTTAGCTTATGCTTCGGGGACGAAGCATTCTTTTAACAAGGGTAGAATGTGACACACCGAAAATTTAAATAAAGTAAAATAGTTAATTTTATTATTGAGATAAAATGTTACAAAAGTGTCATTTTTATAAGAATATACTCCGTATATTTATCAGATGAAATTTTGGCTTAAAAAGGTAACATGAACATAATAATGTACACACTCTTCCTTTGAGGCCGTGACTACCAAAATGGTACGTAGCACACTTTAAAACCATTTCAACTTTAAACTTAATTTGACTATTCAAACTTAAGAAACGTTTGTAATATTAGAAACCAGGCCATAAACTTAGCATATGTATTACTACTATATTATTATTAATTATTAATATTAATACTCTCATACAAGGAAAGAGGGTTGACCTACGTATTACTTTACATACACACGCACAACTATATTTGGACTACTAGTACGGAGTAGCACATTATACTCGCCGGTTTCAAATTACAATATACACACGCTTAGCTATACGTATGTATATGTACATTTTCAGTTTTCACACCGTATAGTAGTCTCCGTAGGAAACGTACGTAGAACGGTAGAAGCTAAATAAGGAAACAGTGATGAATGCCCAAGATTCTTAACATATAAACGACGGACTAGAACCTTCAATCATGGGTATATAAACACAGAGTTGCGATCAATCTCGCTGCACCAAAACGAACCATCACCCACTATATACGAAGGGAGCTGCTCTGCGAGAGAAAGAAAGAAAAACATGTGAAAGAGAGTTAGAGAGTGAAGCAGGACGAACTATCGTCGGGGAGAGAGACGCCAGTTCTGCTGAGCCATTTCCGCCGTAGTCATTACCAGACTAAGAGGAGGCCAGAGTTGCACCACCGCTGAACGTCACCATCATCACCGGGGAAGTTAGAGTGTCGTCCGTTTCTGCTATATAACTCGTCTGTCGTCGTTATAGGTAAGCAGTTTGGTTCCTGATTTCTTTTCCCGGCGTTTCAGCGTAGAAGATGACGGAGTTGCTGTATCATACGGTTTAGTTGGGCGGACTGTTTAGTTATACAATCTGGCTGAAAGTTTATTATTAAAAAAATGATGTTGGACCAACCCTTTAATTTATTGTTAAGTGGGAATTCGAGTTAGAGTACGTAGTATAACTGTGTTGGCTTAAAACTTATAATAATTATAATAATATTGGAATTGTTGATGAATGAGAGCAGACATAGTGATATTAATCATTTGAGGATCGATATTAATCATTTGAGGATTTTAATCGAGTATAAAATAATACTTCTTACTTTTAATAAAGTTGTCACTTTTAATAAGATGGTAGACCGAGTATTTGACCTAAAATAATAGTCCGTAATAAGTAGAGTAAATTGCTTCAACCAAACCAATTATCAATGTGGATTATTTGAATTTGAATTACGTAATTCGGATTAAATAAAAATGTATTAATGTCAGAGAGTGAATTAATGATTAATAAAGTGATTAATTACCGAATGACTTAAGAAGGGGGGGATTGGATAATTATAGTATAGGGGACTAATTGCATGTATTCTTAATTAAAAAGGTGACTATTTAGAGACTGAAGTAGAGGACGCGAACTAGGAACTTCTAATTTAAGGTAAGTTTCTCTGCCGATCCAAAATTGTTTTCCTCGTATTATATGATTATTATGTGTGATGTGATTAAAGTGTGAATTTTGATTGTGCATTATTTGAAGTTATATTAAATTTATAGTATTTGAGATAGTTGAGTTATGACGTGTTAAATATTTTTAAAATACCATTGAGAATATTTTTGGAGACTTGAAAAATATTTTGAAGTATATCGTTTTAAGATGGAAATTAACATTTTCATAAGAGATGAGCACCCGGGAGAAATCCGTGGTGTCGGTTTTCCACATCCGGATAAATGTGGAGGGTGATTAGGGTTACTACTACTTGGAGTACAGTTTTAGTAGGTCGGTAGCCAATCCGACATTCGGATCATTGATCCCAGGCATAGTAGTAGTAATTCCTAATCACTTGATTTTATAGAGGAGGAGTAGTTGGTAGACTGAGTCCCGACTACTCGAGATGACTTACTACTCGGAGGGCTTGGAATCCCTTTTTGGGGGTGTGCACACTTAAGGTAGTCGTTTCGATTCCAATAGTAGTAGTGGTGGGAACCGGTTTCCGGGATGAGCTCGTAAATAACGACTCATTGGGCTTCGGGCAAAAGTATCCGAAAGTACCGCTCATCTTAAAAGAAAGTAGGAGATTTTGATTTTGGATAGAGGAAGACTATGGAGATCATTTTCAAAGAGAAATTGAGTATATTGAAAGAGAGTGATTAGCTAAAAAGTTATTTTTGGAAAGTGATACTTGTATATGAATGTGTGAGTTACTAAGAGTTTATAAATATTATTTTTAAACGTGAAAGTAGTGTTATTAATGAGTAAACGAATTTTGAAAGCTATAGTAGTGTATAATTACTATTTGTGCCAAATTATAGTATTTTACGGGGTTGGGTAGTACTTACTTAGCTTTCGCTAATTTTTGTTTCTTTTTCTTTTTTTTTGCTTTCTGCACTTTATTTGTGCAGGTAATGATGCTTATGTTGACCGATGATTGCATGATCTTGAGAGCGGTTTAGAGATGCCTTAGTCAAACTTAGTCAAGAACAAATATTTTAGTTATGATGAATCCTTGTTTTACTTTGTTGTTTTTTTTTATAAATTGCCTGTGCATTCGGTTAGAGATGACCGGATGTGGCGGTAACACCCATTTCCCAATTAATGTTATTTCCGCTACAAAACTTTTTATCTGTTTTGAAAGAATAAATCAAGGTTGTTATCAATATATTACTATTTCAAGTATTATTTTGGGCGGGAAATTTGGGGGTGTTACAAATTGGTATCAGAGCAACCCTGCGACAGTGTGCTGATCCGTTGGATATCGGGCAGACACCTAGCAGGGGAAAAGTTTCTGGGATTTGATTGAGATTGGTTCAAGGGCGCAACGAGGACGTTGCGATCCTAAGTGGGAGTGATTGTAACACTTGAGATTTAATATAAACGAATTAATAGTACTACTCATACCAACAGAGGTGCATCTCCTTTTAAGGGAGCTCATCACCAAGAACTCCAAAGTTAAGCGTGCTTGCACGGGAGCAGTCTTGGGATGGGTGACCCCCTGTGAAGTTTCTCAGGGCGCGCATGAGTGAGGACAAAGTGCGCGGTAAAGGCTCGTGGTGGTTTGTGGGGACAGTACTATTGGTCCGGAGTAACTACCTCAGGTCCGGTGGGGCCGGGGTGTTACAGGAGTATTCTTCAAAAGGAATACAAGGGTGACAAGAAAGTCATTGAGGTCAGGCTACAATCCCTAAGAAGGGAGTTTGAGAATGCCAAGATGCAGGACAAAGAAACTGTCAATGATTACCTCTCTAGGATCACATCAATTGTGCAGAAGATGAGATCCTATGGAGAGGAGGTTAAATCTAAACAAGTGATAAGTAAGGTGCTGAGGAGTCTTTCAAGGAAGTACTCTCATCTTGTGGCAGCTATTGAGGAGTCTAAGGACATGGAGGTATACACCTTTGATGAACTCAAAGGTTCTTTGCAGGCCTATGAAGAAAGGGAAGATAAAGAGGAAGAAAGGGATGAGACAGCTTTTCAAGCTAAAGCTGACACTTCTCACCATGATAGGACTCAGCCATCTTCAAGAGGAAGAGGAAGAGGTCGTGGTAGAGGAGGCAATAGAGGTAGAGGTCGTGGCAGAGGGGGCAGAGGTTACACTCCTGAAAGAAAGGAGGAGCCAACTGGGAGCAATTACAAGAGCCCCATCAAATGCTATTACTGCAACAAGCCAGGCCATAAAGAGGCCTCATGCTGGAAGAAAGAAGAAGACAAGGGAGAAGGAAGAACTGAGAGCAAGTCTAATTATGCTGAGCATGAAAACCTTTTCCTTGCTCAACATAATTGTGACTATGGAGCAAAAACAGTCTGGTATGTGGATAGTGGTTGCTCAAACCACATGACTAGTTCTAGGGACATGTTTATGGACCTAGATGACTCTAAGAAAAGTATGGTGAGGCTTGGAGATGGCAAGCAACTTTCAGTTGAAGGACAGGGAACAATTGAGCTTCCAACTGAGCAAGGAAAGCCCAAATTACTGCATAATGTGCAGTATGTTCCTAATCTTGCCCATAACTTGTTAAGTGTGGGTCAGCTTATATGTGGTGGCTACAGAATCCTGTTTGAGGATGGTATGTGTATTATCAAAGAAAACAAGCAAAATGAAGTGGTGATGAGGATACAAATGGGAAAGAACAAGGTCTTTCCATTGGACCTAACCAGAAATGCAGGCCAAGCTC